TAAAAAAAATGCGTTTATTAAACGTTGAAAATAAGTATGCAAATAATCACTGTAAAAACGTCGCAAAGGTAATGGTTTATCAACGTTAGACATTAGCTGCTTTTTCAACGAATTTAAACTATTTGAAAAACAACACTTATTCAACGTTATTTCAACGTTGGTTGAAAATGTGCTAATTAAAAAACGTTGAAAAAGTGTTACTTTGCCAACGTTAATAAAACGTTGATTTGACAATGTTGAGGAAGTGGCACATTGAAAATTATTGTCTCAATAACTAGCCATTACAAAAATAATTTGCCGTAATGGAAAGGCAAGGAAAACTTGATAGAATGCATGCATATGGTATAAAATTTTTTTAATAAAGTTATATTTTATAGCCTATTTTATTGCGACTAATTTAAAACTTTTAGATTTTATATCAAAATGTATATAAAGTGCATAAATCTCACGGTAAGTTCGATTTATTCAACTTATTTTTGTCAATGTTTTATTTTGTTTTAAGTTGACAATTTTAATAAAATGCTCAACTTTTTTAAATATTTATTTCTTAGTTAGAAATAGTACTTAGTTTTAATACGATTCACATTTATAAAATATTATCAAAATTAATAAAACATAGTAAGTCAGACTAAATTAAGTTTGTTAACAGAATAAGTTTTTTAGTTTATTTACAAATTATCACTTATACATACATACATACATATATATATATATATATATATATATATATATATATATATATATATATATATATATATATATATATATATATATATATATATATATATATATATATATATATATATATATATATATATATATATATATATATATATATATATATATATATATATATACATATATATATATATATATATATATATATATATATATATATATATATATATATATATATATATATATATTTATATAGTTTAATATTTATTTATTACTTTATTAAGAGTTTGTATACTAGTTTTATTAAGTATCTGAATACAGACCTATATACAGACCTATGAAGTCTCTCCCATTTGGCAGGAGTTTTCTGAATTTTGAAGAGAAATTTATCTCCAACCTGCATTTAAAAATAATTTAATAACTTTCTTTTCCTCACTAGTAACTTAAAATACACCAAGCTTCTAACTTTTTAAATAGTTTTCATTTTATAACTTAAGAAAATAGTTAAAGATTGTTTAAAATTGCTTAACACAAACATAAATATATAAAAGTATATCTATACAGAATAAATATCAGCTCAGTCAGTGACCAAATTTGGACATTTTTAAGTTAGTTGTTAGAGTAATAAATTATTAAAAAACTTTTTTATTCAATAGAGGTATTTTAGTGGACAAATATCCAGTGGTATAAAATTTTTTCCAAGTCTCCCTTGTAAACATTTTCAAAACATGACAGCTATGTGTATACACATAAAAACTATATATTCATATATATATATATATATATATATATATATATATATATATATATATATATATATATATATATATATATATATATATATATATATATATATATATATATATATATATATATATATCATATATATATATATATATATATATATATATATATATATATATATATATATATATATATATATATATATATATATATATATATATATATGTGTATATATATATATATATATTTGTGTGTGTGTGTGAGTGTGTGTGTGTGTGTGTAAATAATGTATATATAAAGACTTATATATACATAATTTACATATATATTAGGTATGAAGCAGAGGCAGTTGTTCCATCTTGTTCGAAAAAAGATGGATGGTTATTTTGGTCAACTTGTGTTCATGCAATGAAAGCTACCTATAATAATTTTTCATTTATTGACTCCTGCAACAAACTTAGACTTAAAAGAATTAAAGTAACTGGAGGCCATTAAATTTTACAGTAATTATTGCTATTTTAATTGTTTTATATGAATAAAAAAACTATTATAGCTTTATTTTAACGGTGAAGTATTATATCAAATAAACTATTTTATTTTTATTCCGGAATAAGTAATAGTTTGAATCTGGTTATGGTATTATTACTGCCTAGATATATATTGTAATCTGTTTACACTTATTCTACTTTTTTGTTTTTACATAATTTTATTTATATTTATTTTACTAAATAATTACTAATAGATAAAGAAGTATGTGCAGGATTTAATTTCACGACTAAAGAGGACTCCGAAGAAGAATGTAAGTAATTATGTTTGTGAATAATTTTGTTTCTCTTCGGATTTAACTTTTCTTTGTTTTTTATATAGTGAAGAATAAAAAAAAATTTAATATTAACTATTGGTCAAAGCTGATTTCAATAATACTGTCTAAATTTTTTGACTTGTGGTAGTTTGATTACCAGTATAAATTTATTTAGTAAAGTTCTGGTGGATCAAAGATCGAGGAATGATTTGGTTTTAACTGGTTTGCATCTTATGAACGAAGTACATAATATGATTTAAATTGATGATTTATAGTTACACCTATTGAAGTAAGTTTTATTTAGTTAATTAATGTATGGATACATGACTATTTTTCGTTGCAAAATTTATATATATACATATTATATATATATATATATATATATATATATATATATATATATATATATATATATATATATATATATATATATATATATATATATATATATATATATATATATTATTGTTATTATTGTTATATAATATGTTATAATAATTATAGGGTTTTTATTTGTCAATATAGGAATACCAACAATATTGCAATATTTTTTTGTAGTAAATAAAATAATTTTGTTGTCTAACAAAAATTGTGGATTTTAAGTTCAGAATTTAAATCCATAAGACACTTTAGTTAATAACACTGTGGAAAACTAACCAAAAGTCTCTAGAATCGACATCTAAGATAAGATACAAGGTTTAGTAAACTGAGAATAACAGAGATTTACATCAGACAAGACTTTATTTATACATTTTATTATTGCAATAATAAAAAGGACAATTTTTTCTTAAGAGAGATGTTCTCATAAAAAAGCTGAAAAATGTAGTTAATGTTGAAAGATGTAGAGTAAAATGAGGCTTGATTTAAAACTGAAGAGAAGTAATAAAAGCTTCCAAGCTTTTATTCCAGAAGCAATATAAGCTTCCAAGATGCACTTTTTGCACACATATTATGGATATAAACATAATTGTTTGCTATTTGTTTAGATGCTGGCATACAATATCCTTTCATTGTTGTATAAACTTTAGTATTTATATAGTGTAGTATTTGCCGAAAGAGAAAATGATCAGATGGATGTGTGGTGTGACTCTAACAAGATATAAAAAGTAGGCATAATCTTAGGCAGATTAGAAAAAACGTTGTATCAAACAACCTTTTTTTTTAGAAAAAGTTAAAGTAATTCAGGTATTAAGATGTAGAGTGGTAACAGCTTCAGTATAAAATGGTTGTGGTAGAAGTAAGAAAATTTGAAGAGTGTGCCTTACATAGTGCCATAATAAAGATGATGATGATTATCATGATGACGATCAACAACATCAACATAATTTTTATTATCATTGTCAAGCTTTCCGCTTTTATGCTGTTGATGATAATGATTATTATGATGATTATGATGATGATGATGATGATGATAGTTATGATGATTATGATGATCATGTTGATCACAATGATGTTCATATACGCATATATATACAAAATATAGTATGAATTTTAAATTTAAAAAATATACTTTAGGATGTAGGCCCTGGCCCCGGCTATATTTTATCAAACCCGGCTCCGACCCCAGTCAAATATCAACCCCAGTTGTTTACTACAAAACATTTCAAGAATAAAAAACGTCGTGTTATTTTTAAAAACAATTACTTATTTTATGCTATTACGACTATCACAATATATATATATATATATATATATATATATATATATATATATATATATATATATATATATATATATATATATATATATATATATATATATATATATATATATATATATATATATATATATATATATATATATATATTGTATCTCAATGATATCCTGGATATCATTGAGATTCTGTATCTCAATGATATCCTGGCTTATCGATACGATATCCTGTAAATCCACTCACACACATAATTTTTACTCACACACGTAAATCCTGTAAATTCACTTACACGCATAAATCTTAAAAAAGATGTTTATATTTTTATCTATAAATTGTAAATTTTATATAAATAAATTGTATATTTTTTATGTTTTTCATTGTATATTACTATTTGTATTAAAAATCGACTTTGGAAATATTGCAAATGCAGAGTTCAACATACAATTTTGTTTTATTTGCAAATTCAATATACATTATAGCCAAGTTTAATCACGTTTAATAATATTTTGCGATATTTTCTCCAGCGCATTTGAGCGTTGATTTGACGTTATATTTCAACCTTTACTCGACGTCTTTGAGTCACGTTAAATCGACGTTTTACTACCAACGTTACAAATCCTTGCAAAATCGACTGCTTTAACAACGATAAAGTAACGCTTTTCAAGTAACGTTTTTTCAACGTTAAGTTGCGGCGCCTATGCAACGCTTTTTAAGTAACGCTTTTTCAACGTTTAGTTGAGACATTTTTGTAACGACTTTTAGTAACGTTTTTTCAACCTTACGCTACAACGTTTAACCAACGTCTCTTTAACAACGTGACATATCTTTGCAAAATCGATTACTTTGTCAACGTTTCCGCAACACCTTTTGCGACCGGTTTTCAACGTTGATTCAACGCTGATATGTTTGCTGGGACGAATTATAACCAAGATTTTAAACTTTTCAATAAAAGCCGTACAGTAACTTGCCAATTTTTTACGGAAAGCGCAAAAATTCAAGTCATTTAATTTAAGATGGCCATGAACCCAGTAATTAATTTTAATTGTCTTATAGGCACTATACGTTCTTAAAGCATTTAAAATGCGTTAAAACATTTTGTTATATTTATAATAACATCTAAAATACATATTGGACTCTTTAGCTCCATGTTTAACTGTTAATATCATTTTAAAAATACAAGTTATATAAACTTAAACTAAAATTAATACACATTTTCTTTAAGAGTTTTAACAGCATCCAAAAAAAAATAACGTTTCAGCTAAATTTCGGGTCGACATAATTATAGTTTGGTTCCGAAACAGTAACGTTCTGATAATCAATATTAGAAAAACTTTTATTATTTTCGATAACTTTATTACCAGCATTCAACTTTTGGTAATCAATATTACCTTTAGACAAATGTGCAAGTTCTTGATAACTGGTTAAACCATTGTTGTCGTTCATTTCCTATATTTAAATATTAAAAAAGTATTTATAAGTATTTTTCATCTAACTATTTAGTTAAATAATTTAGTTACCGTTTATAATATATTCATACTTTTGTAAAAATAAAAAATTAGCTAACTAATTAATAAATAAAATAACGTCGATCCAAAGTTGGATTTATTATGGGTTATGTGGACCAAACAAATGCAATGTTGCAATAACGTTCATTACACTAATGTTATTTTTTGTTTCAACCACAAAGTTGAAAAATCGTTGATTACACTAATATTATTTTTCATCATGCAAGGTTTTAATCGTTTTAATCACAAACGTTTTTCTTAACTATAATTACAACATGGTAACGACGTTAGTTACACTAACATTACTTTTCATTGGAATTACAACATAATAACATTGGCTACCTTAACTTACTTCTTTATCGTAGTTACAATGTTATAATAGTTATAGAGTTACACTAACTTTATTTTTAATTATTAATAAATCTTATTCATTTTTTACGAATATTGCAATTTTATTTTGACGTAGGACTTTGTTTAGAATTATATGTTTATATATATATACATAAGAGCGCGTTATTACGTCTGACCAGAAAATGTTAAAAAACTTTTTTAAAAAAAACTTTTTTTTCAAATGATAGACTGCCTGCCCAAACCAAACCCTCAGACAATGTAGCAGCACTCCCTTGCGAGTGAGGCTATTTGTCAGTCGATGTAGCAGCAATCCCTTGCGTGTCAGGCTATTTGCCAGCCGATATAGCAGCACTGCCTTGCGAGTCAGGCTATAAGATAGTCGATGTAGCATTACTCCCATGTAGCAGCAGGCTATAAGATAGTCGATGTAGCAACACTTACGCAAGTTTTAAAATGTTTTTTAATAAAACAAAAACACCACTAATTAAAAAAACTTTCTAGTCATTAATTTAATGCACTTCCGCATCAATTTAATTGCTTTGACATTTAGACGACAATAAAATGCAGCTAAAGAAACAAGGTAAAAAAGTTGTAGTTAAAAGAGACTTTTTTTACTATAAAAGTTTCTTTCGACTACACTATTAGGATATATATATATATATATATATATATATATATATATATATATATATATATATATATATATATATATATATATACATATATATATATATATATATATATATATATATATATATATATATATATATATATATATATATATATATATATATATATATATATATATATATATATATATATATGCATATAAATAACGGCGTTATTTCAAATTGTTTCAACATTGGTGTGCCCACTGCGCTAGTGGATACACCAAACTTGGAATAGCATTAAATAATTGAGTTACTTAGGTTGTAATAACGTTGGATTAACGTTGAAAATGGAAAGAATAGATGACCTTAGATTTTCTAATGTTTGATTTTCCAACATTATAACGTTAGATTTTCGAACATTAACAAACGTTGTGATTTCAACGTAAAAGCAACGTGTTTTTTAAGTAAATTGACGACAATCATTGGTGCATAAACCCCGATCTCATGCTAAACTATACATTGCGTTTTCCACTACGCTACAGAATCATATTGAATAAAATTATATATTACTAATGCAGTAAACTCTCGCTTATTCAATAAGCTACAAATTTGAATTTCCTGCAAATTCGAGGTAATCTTCCTTTCCCGTAAATTTTCCTTACAAAATCATGCAAATACTTATTAGTTATTCTAATCTGCAAATTTGGTTAATCAAAATGATTTTTTACTACTCTTGAAAAAATCCCTCTAAGTTCAATGTTTTTTTCTATTGATATTTTCATTGCATTTCAAAACATAACTTTACAAGCGTTATCAAAATATATCAAACGAAATAATGTTATTAAAATATAACTGCACACATTGCAACGTAGTGTAATAAAAATTTTAACATAGCATCTATGTAAAAGAAAACAGTTCTGACAATCAAAGAAAAAATATCTTGCTTTTAAAAACTTTCAAAGACTAACTAAAACAATGTTGCCAAAAGTTTAGTGTTTACTAAAACATTTTAACTTTCTGGGTTAAAAATAAAAAAAACACAATTAGCATTTATGAGTCTGATTAATTTGGAGCAAAGAGAAAAAAAAATAAGTTTGGGAAAACGTGACATGTAAATGGTTTATTAATGCACATGAACTAAATTTACCAACTGGTGGACACATCATTAAGGAGAGAGATTTTAATTTTGAAAAAGAACTTAACTTTGCGGATAATAAGGCTTCAGAAAGGCTTCAGAAAGGCTTCAGAAAGGCTTCAGAAAGGCTTCAGAAAGGCTTCAGAAAGGCTTCAGAAAGGCTTCAGAAAGGCTTCAGAAAGGCTTCAGAATTTGATCTGTGGAAAATAAAAATAATGTTGTTTTTTGAAATATTTCTGGCAAGGGAAGGTTGCGTAGAGAGGAAAAGACATCAAGATAAGAGCAAACCCATTTGCCCACAATCCTATCAAAGTATGAATTGTGGGATTTTTACGCTGACAAGCTTGATTTTTTTTTTTATTAACAGCCTCCAACGAATCTTTCATCTAAAAGATTAACAATGTGCAGAGGAAAAAATGAGCTTTTTTTATATCGAAATCCCAACATTGGTTAATGTTAAAAAGTCTAAACGTTATAACGTTAAAAAAAAAAAACATTGGAAATTCTAACTTTATCAAATTCATTTCCTTTATCAAATTTATATATCATCTTTATCAAAAAAGCTATCTTGTTTGTATTTGGAAAACAGAAAAACTACAATATTTCAAAGGTATCAAAGTCCTACCTTGTCAGTCCTAATATAAATCCTGGACGGACTCTAAGTCTTTACTGATTATGTAAGAATACTTGAAGTAAAGTTTGGAGGATTATGATAGACTAGAAAAATGCGTTATCTTATCTCCTATTTCACATAGAAAAAAAGATAAAATGATGAAAATAAGAAAAATAAAAAGTATTTCTATAGTCTAATGCTTGTTTATAGTTTTTGATGTTAGTTTAACAATGGTAAGTGGTAATTGACATGGTGCGCAGAACGAATGAAGACAGTTTTTTAAAATAATTTCATGTACGTTTAACTTAACTAATTTTGGAATGATTGAATCATCACGATGGAAAATAAGTTAAAAAGAAATCTTATATTAATGAGTTTAAATATATTTGTTATCTGTTTCTTTTAATGGAAAATATTTAGTGATACTTATTTTTCTTTGCTTGTAAAACCAATAATTATTTTTTTGCAAAGAATAAAATCAAATAAACAATTGAATAATTTTTGCAAAGGAACACGTATCATGGAAATATGAGTGTCAACAAGCAGTATTTTCTGACGAAAAAGGATTTTGTTTTGATGGGTCAGATAGATGGAAATATTATTTTCACGATTTGCGTAAAGAACCAGTAACACAGCAAGATGTCATATGGGTGGTGGTGGTGTAATGATTTGGTATGCGATTGGATATCATGGTAAATCAAAAATTCATTTTATTGACAGAAAAATAAAGTCTAAAGATTATCTTTTAATTGTTTAAAAAATATCAAGACATAAAGCATCTGTCATATAGGGTCAAAATTTAATTTTTCAGCAAAATAATGCTAGTGTTCATACAGCTAAGCTAGTAAAGGAATATTTAAACAGCAGTAAAACTGAAATTGAAGTGTCTTCAGACCTGAAAAATATTGAGAATGCTTGTGCACAGTTGTCACATATAGTGTTTGAAGGTGGTAAACAAAATAGTTTACTAGCTGACTTGAAATCATCTATTGCATCTAAATGGAATACAATTGACGTTTAAAATAAATATAAAATATGTTACATATAAATTATGTTTGATTTTTTACCTTTTAAAACGATTGAAGTGATTCAAAAAAATAGTAAAAGTACCCACTATCAATTGTTTAAAATAGAGACGTCTTTTTATATAAATGACAATTTATATGAATTTTTTCCAAAAGTATCATACTTTTTTCGCACTAAAAAAAGTTTTTTTTTTTAAATTAAATGCAAGCTAGGTTTAAAATAAATTGTTTCAAATGTTGTTTAGTCTTGTAATCCTCATTTACTATAAAAATTAATTTTTTTAAACTTAAATGGATAGTAGAGTTTTATAAATATTTTTGGGGTGTCTTATCATGCCAACATATATAAATGAAACGATATTGATTAGATCTAAAGATTAGAAATGCAAAATATCAAGGATCAATGTTATAAAAAATCCAATATAACTCTCTTATGATAAGAAGTGATTCAGTTATATTGAGCATTTAATTCACCAACCATAAATGTAAAAATCGAAATTGTGCTCAACAGAAGTACTTTCTCTTCTTAAACAGTCACAATTTTTGTGTGAAATTTCTTAGTTATATTTAAATTAGATTTCAAAAATAAAATTTTTCTATGAATTTATAAATATAATATTTAAAATTATTAAAATAGTAATGCTTAGTACATTACTACTGTATTCTTTTTGCTGATGTCTGAATTTTTTATTATTAAAGATGATTCTTTCAATCATTGTTTTTATCAAAAGGAGAGGGGCCCGGTAACAATTGATGACATTCATTGCTAATGAATGTCATCAATTGTTACAACTCAAAAAAAAAAAAAAAAAAACAGCCGATGCAAATATATTAAGAATGTTAAATATTGTTCTATGAATTAAAATTATTAAAATAGCAATGCATAGTGCATTACTATTGTATATTCTTTGCTTATGTCTGAATTTTTTTAAATTTAAGATTATTCTTTTATTCACTGTTTTTATCAAAAGAAGAAGGCCCCGGTAATAATGATGACATTGTTTTAAGTGGCAGAGTACCGAGTGATCACGCCTGTTTACAAGTGGGAGAGAGTTAAAAAGAAGTCTAAAAATGGATTATGTATTTTTCAAACTATTACTTGATTCAAAAAGTAAAATTAAAAAAAAAATTCTGCATGCGGGTGTAAAATTTCTAACACGCGTGTTTTTTTAGGTGCGCGGACGTTTTTCTGGTTAGAGCTTCTAA